CTGACCACTTCATTTTTTGAGGTCCATCGAAGCCTAACTGTTTCAAATATTCAGTAGTCTTGTGAGCAGCATGTGAGGGAGCATTATCTTGCATAAAAACAATTGCCCTTCTGAAGGCAAATCTTTGCCTTTTCATCCACGGTTCAAGATGCTCCTTCATAAACGCTATGTATGCATCAGCAGTCATTTTGACGCCATCTGGTACTCTCCATGGGCCCACTAATGTTTTTCCAATAATACCACCCCAGATCATTATGCCTCCATCGGCTTGTTGGCGTCTCAAACGCTGATGGCGATTCTGTCCGTTCATTGCCCAGCCTTTGCACCATCTATCTGGCCCATCAAGTGTTGCTCGAGTTTCGTCTGTAAACAAAACTTTAGAGAAGTCAATCTTCATATTGTCCTCGGCCCATTTCAATCGATTTTGAATGTGATTTTTCGTCAACGGTGGCTTCGATATAGGTTTGACTGTTGTTGCTATTTCCCTCAGATATAGACACTGAGTACACAGTAGGATCCCCAATGCGACTGAAAAGCTCTTGACTGGTAAGTCCAGGGTTCTTCGTGGCCTCTCGTTTAAGTCGTGACATGAGAAGACGTGAAATAATCTTCGGCTTGCCTTTATCTGCCCTTTTGCGTACTTGTGTAGGGTCGGCGGTGAACTTTTTTTGATGACACCTCCCTATCATTTTAGAAATTTCAAGGGTAGATTTACCTTTTGAGAGTTCTAAGGTGATAGCTTTCTTTTCAGCATCACTTAAACTGCTTTAACGACCCATCTTTTCACTAAATTCTTACACTTTTCTAATAATTTGGCACAGTCAAATTACCGTGCTGATAACAAATACGGCGCCAGTTTGTTTAAATCGCGCAGATCAGTACGAAAATTTCAGTACTTGCGCATGTCTGTGTTGCCAACATTGTGTGAAAATTTTGTGTGAATTGAATGGAGGTTTTTTGAAATATTAGAAAAAAGTTATCTCGATAATAATTTGGCACAGAGTGTATATATATATATATATATATATATATATATATATATATATATATATATGTGGGGATGAAAAAATTTTCAAATAGAGTATATTTGTAAAAGGACAACATGAATAAAGACGAAAAGAAAACATAGTTGACGCGTTTTCTACTTATATCAAGGCAAATGCAAGGATTTTATTTTATAACATTTATTTGCATACAAGTGCAAAAATGTTATTTGTTTTTCGAAAAAAATTTTTTTAGTTACAGGAGCGGTGAAGTATATTCATCAGGTTAACGGAAAAGTCAGGTAAGTTTATGTAGTACAAGTCAAGGTCTAATAAATAATTATACCTAAACCGATAACTAAAAACAAAATTGAAAACCAATAACATCTTGGTCTTGTTATATAAATGTGATCAACACTCTGAACATGGTCTGACCAAAGTCCTCTCAAACTATCGGTCACGATGACTCGTGGCTCCGTGCTAGCATAATCATATACAGTTACCAAAGAGCTCCGTCTACCAAATTTTGCTCACAAGACACGAGTCAGCTCGTTGTAGATTTTCATGAACTTTCCAGAAATAGCTTCCTTGATGTGATTTAAATCCGAGACTCGTGATCGCCCATAACATTATTAGGAGGTAAATGGATGACATAAAGGACAAAGTTCAGAGAAAAAGAAACCTTTTGAGATATTAATTATAGTTTTATTAATGTAATGAATCTTATATATTAAATGGAGTATAAAAACGAACTATAGCCGGTATTTGTTGCATATATGACTAACTAAACCAATTTTTTCTTATATCTAAGATTAATTAATTCAAAATTAACTTTTATTAGGAAACGCCTGACTAGAAATGGTTTCTACTTCGTCATTCAATTATTCCCATAGATAGATAGATAGATAGATATGAAATATTTCAACTTCAAAAACGTTTCCAAAATAATTCTGTCCTTAAATTCACGTATGAACTGAATACTAATAATAAAATTTCCGTCCTTGACAAATTGATAAACACAAATAATAACAAATTTACTATTTCGCCATAGAAAAAACCTACCAGCATAATTCACTTAACTACAAGAACGAATATCCATATTATTACAAAATAGCAATTATAAAAAGTCTGATACATCGTGCAGAAACTAATTCATCCACAAAACAGATTTTTTACGCTGAACTAAAGAATATAAAACAAACACTTATTAATAATAGATTTCCAAACTATATAGTTGATGAACAAATAAGATGATTTCTTAGAAGTCTCGATACTAAGCAAATAGAACATAATACTGCTTTTACTAATCCCAAAAATATTAATCTCCTATATCGTAATCAAATGCATACTAATTATAAAAAGATGAAAATATACTAAAAAATTTGGTAAATACTAATATATCTAATGATCCTAGCAAGAAAATTAAGTTAATCACATACTACACTAAATCTAGTATATCCAACTCAATTATTCGCAATGATTCTTCCCCACCCAGTTAGCTATTTGCAAAAAACCAACATAGTTTACAAATTCAAGTGCCCTTTGCGAGATTTTATCTCCAATGGATAAAATAATATTTATGTTAGTCACACCACAAACTCGCTTTCACGACAATTGACACTACATTTGAATGATAACTCTAACATTTTTAGGCATTTAAAACAATATGCCCTGCCGCGTACACAATTCCGGAAAATCCTCGTTGAAAACTCAACTATACTTAAACATGAAAGCAACAAACAAAAACTAAAAATTCTTATATACATAAAACAGTTGAAACCTAACCTGTACAAAATAAACTATGGAAACTCCACAAATATACTTAAATGCCTATAATTGATAACAGAAGCCATTGGTTTGTAACAAAGGTTTCCCATACTTAACACTTCTCGTTTTCACTCTCACATGACCATATGTGATGTCATGGCCCGAGATGAGATTTTCGCTTCGAGCGTTTCGTATGCACGAGTTTCTCGTTGCTTGGAAATCTTCCATGCAAACAAAACTGACTACCATTATTGCTATATTTGTGTATTATTTAATTTATTGTAATGTAATTGTCATCTTTGATGATGGCATATGTAAGCCGAAAGCTTAGATAGGATTAAAGAACATGTATCAATATGGTGATTTTCTTTCGTCTTTCAATGATAATCTTATTAAGCTTATCAGACGATATGATAGGAATTTGCTTAAAATTACGACAAAACTTATCTATATTATTTAATGAAACTTTCATCAATATATATATATATATATATATATATATATATATATATATATATATATATATATTCGTCGTCTGTATTTGAGCCCAGCAGCAATCTACTACAGTATGGGGGGATAATTCACAAACATTTTGAAGTCTGCCATGGCTAGAAAGTAAAGATTGTGCAGCACCAGCCCAGATATGGCAGCAATGCCCTGTTATTTTGTCTGTTCAAAAATAGCGCACTTTCTGGAGCGGTACAAGTATCCGGTTATTTTTCCAGTGAATTTAGCTATGGATAGTATATACGATTTGAACTTGGGGTCTGGAGTGACTTGAGTCCCAACATATGTTCAAATGATATAATATTCTTGAGGATAAAACTGTTCCCCATAAGTCTGGAGAATATTCAACTTCTGCTCTGTAATGATTAAATGATATTAGCTTCGTTCTTTGAATTATTGATTTTTACAGACTATTTCCTCCCAACATTGCGCTCTACGATTAAGTTCAGAGGAGATATCAAGTATCAGGTTTGAGCGATGAGGAAGAACAATTATCTATGCCTTTGTTTACCGAATGCAAAATTATAGCTGACCCAAAGTAAATGTACCGATAACTGATATTTTTTTAACTTTAGACCATCCATACATGGATAATCTGTCATTTTACGGTTACTAGTTTCAAATATGATTAAATTTAAATAAATTTCCTTTCATTTTCTTTTTGTTTAACGTTTTCATGTTTTCTAGTCGATAAGTTCCGGCAACTTTTCACAGCAAAAACAATTCATTCATGACATTATTCACTAAGCAAATCTTTTTTTCCCAGATCGTCTATGCGTTCGACTAAACTTTAAACTAAATTGTTTGCTCAATCTTATTAGGAAGATGCAAAAGTTTCAAACATTTTTGAAAAAAAAACATTCTTTTAAAAAAAATTATGGTATCATTATTTGTTCATCCAAATATTTCCCCAGACATTTTTTATCTGACCCTGCCTTTCAGTTAAGTGCTCTATTCCATCATACCTCGCTTATAACAAATTTAGTATAGGAGATAAGGAAATTGAACATAGTATAAACTGCTAAAAATACAAAACATTAACTTAAAAACTAAAATCATATTTAGTCTCGTCAGATCGAGACATTCATATAGGTGTCATGCATTTTTTAATCATTACAACCCATGCAAGGCGGTAAAGCTGATAGGGGTTACTGAGTAGTAAAAATCTAAGGAAAAAGATATTATTAAGCAAAGAGGACAATAAAAGAACTGGATTAAAATAAATAGAAGATGACGATTGACATGAATTTAATTTTTTTGAGGAACTGTGTTAATTTCAAAGCTATAAACGCGAAGTACACAAGAAGAAACTCAGCTGTGTAATGATGAGACCTAACTGCCAATTTAATACAGCGTTTAAATTCATAAAGTCGAGGTACCGAAGAGGAAAGCTCATCAGAAAAATTACCATGAAAATATTTACGGAAGAGGCCCGGGGAAACCATGTTACAGCGGAAGGAATGTAACTGAAAACGAGATGTCATATTGATTGACTGTTTCGAATTTTACGGTCTATCAACCCTTTGCAGGTTATTTAGAGGCAGAAAATATTTTTAATATGTAAGAATTCTTTTAGATAATAATAGCTTACTGATACAATTCTTATTGGTTAACACATAGCTGGAGGAGAAGAGGTGGGTTCATACCTTCCCTTAGGGAATTTGTGCGTAAGTGTATGTAACGAACTCAACTGGGGTTAATAATTCCGAGCTATTATCCATTACACCACCTGCACATCCAAGCTCACAACACTTGGTATTCCCAAGCGGTTACCCATGTAGGTACTGACCAGGCTTGTCGTTGCTTAACTGCGGTGATCGTATGAGGACCTGTGTTTCAACGAGATATGCCCGTAAGCCCCGAGATGCCAGCTCTCGACGGATAATATTACATATTATTCTTGGGAATTTGTCAAGAATCTCTAAATATATAGTACAAGTACCGAATTATATGCAACACGTCAGACTCGTTCAGAAATATCTCGGCTGTCAACTGGATACCATCGTTTTCTCAGGTAGATTGTTGAAAATTGCTCCGAGCGAATGACACGATGACCTTCGAACCTAGATGACTAACATTGCTGAATACAAAGAACTGAAATGGATAGCTGCGACCACTTCACGTGGAGACTTTCAACAACTGAATCAAGTGAACTGAAGTGAGAATAATGACATAATCAAGATGATGGCGTCCGACACAATATCAAAGAAAAAGAAAAGAAGGAAAAGAAATTGCAGGAAAGAATAAAAAGGATTACGGCATTTGATAAACCTTATTTCCTGAAAAAAAAATGTTTAAATAGAAGGATTTTATAAATTTTAACCGACATTAGTATTGGTTTCTCGGTCAGTAAACGTCGAATAGCTCATTAAACGATTATCATCGTATAATTCTAAAAAAACAGAGATAAGAGATAATAGATAGAATAGATCGATAGATAGATATGAACAGACTGATATATATATATATATATATATATATATATATTCATACATTCTAGATAATAGATTAGATAGATAGATAGATAGATAGATAGATATTACACATCAGGGTTGAATAGACAGACGGACCATTTCATCGTCTACCAAAATAGCCTATTCCTCAAATGAGATAAAAGATTTTTTGGTTACTCACGGATATAGATATATATATATATATATATATATATATATATATATAAATATATTTTATATTCAAACAATTTTCATTCAAACAAGCAGTTAAATCATTTCTAAAATTTTCCCTCAAATATACTTTATTTTCCGAAGTATTTTCAACCTCATTTTAGACCGTTGTCAGGGGGATGAAATATCTCTAGAGAAGGATACACTAGCGCCGTAAATTCAGAATATTTTTCTCTATTCTTTTACGACGCCCCAAATTCGAACATGCAAAGAAAGTAACTTTGTAATTTTTTTTTGTTTTTAAAAATATATAAAATATATTTATTTCCACGTATATATATATATATATATATATTATAATATATACATATATATATATATATAATATACGCTTGTATATATATATATATATATACTACTTATATATCGTTATATATATTTTTCGCTAATATTATAGCTAAAATTAGAGCTAAAGCTATTTTAAAGTTGCATTGTACTCCTTAAGAAATAATGGATCGAGCCGACCTTTTTTTTACATTTATTCTATCAGATTCACTGAATTGAACTGGGGAAGTGCGGAAACGAATCGCTGCTATTTTTTAATATACACGAGTTTGAAAAATGTTACTATATCCGGTCGACTAAACAGTCGTTAAGTTCCGTTTCTAACATACCTACTGAGACAATCTAGAAATATTTCACAGTTTGATGTCCATAACGTTCAATGTAATCGATTTTATAAGAAGAAATCCTACAGAATCGGGTTTTTTAATCTTTTAAAAAATTGCGCCTAAAATAATTATGAATATTTAAGAGTGATCCCCCCTTGTTTTGTTACTCTCTTCTTTGAGAGATGTACTTCTGTTACAGGGACTATAAAAGGACACTATGCGAACCTTGTATTTTCAGTTGAATAAATCTTTCTTAAAGCCTATTTCTGCTTACTGTTGTTATTACCCAACTCACCGATTTGTTTACATTACTTTAGGACCATTCGCTTCCAATTAAGGCGTCAAATTAAGATTTAAATTAACAATTAAAGCTAAAATTCTGTCAGTTGCGGCCCGTTTAAAATTGAAATAAAATCCATATCTGTCAGTTTTTTATAGATTTATGGGCGTCTTTCTTTCCGAACACGTGTGTTCTGCTATTGATTTATTTACATACATTAGTGAGTAGTAAGGACGAAAAAGTTAATGTTTAATTTTCATTTTATGTCCAAACTATCGAACGAATTGAACCGACTGTTTTTACATTTAATCAATCAGAACCTTGCGGATTGAACTGGGGGCATGGCAAGTGTGGTGTATATATTAATACGCTTTTTCCCCCTAAAAATTCGGTCTGCTTAGAAGTAAATAAATAAATTCTAAGTCGATTGCCGCCTGAAACTAAAACATATCTAAACACCGATTCTGTAACATCTGATAATGAAGAAGAAACCCAGAATTATTCTATGGAGTTTATCAAAATTTTTACACCTTCTGGAATACTTCCTCTTCGCTTTGGAGTAATTGCTATGCTTCTTGAAAAACTCTCTAAAACACAATGACTATGCAACGGAATTCGCTAGGAAGCAATTCAGCTCCAAGAGCATAGCATCAAAGCATCAATTATAAGTGGTACTGATTCCAAGAATCAACCTTAAACCAAGCGATGGAAACACCCAACTCCCATCGTGCTGTATCAGACCCCGTTACCGGTTCGTCTGTCCTATTCTATGACAATCAATAAAGAACAATAAGATTTGGCATACTCTTGCCACAACAATACTTTACTTTCACTTTCACTTTACGTAGCATTTTCAAGAGCAAGGGCGATCAACGATGTAAGAATTAAAATGATACCTCAAAACGTCAGGTATGATCGCAGAAGGGGAATCACCTTTACTAGAAACATTTTATACAGAGAAGTGCTGTAACGAATGAATTTCATATATACTTTCCCACAATAACTTAAAATAAACTTACATTATTAAATATGAAATAAAGGATAATGTAATTTTTTATTAACCGAAATAGTGCAAATTAAACAATTTTGATTAACTGATTGATTTTTTCAGGGGTCCAGTTTCTAATATATTAATGCACTATTTTGTATTAAAAAAATGCTGTTACAAACTTTTGAGAACTTGAGAAGAGTTCTCTTATATAAAGGGCTTCCAGAATTTTAAGTTGTTGCTTATTATTATTTTGATGAATTACTAATTTATTTTCGATTAATATTTGTCTAGGCTGTGAATGTGCACATGAATGTTCCTTTAAATATTGAGATTGAACTATGCTCATTCACGTAAAACTTCAGCCATCTCGTCAACATCGTCGTTGTAAAAACAATATATGTGCTAACATTTTTATCAGAGATGAAATCTCCCAAAACCATATATATATATATATATATATATATATATATATATATATATATATATATATATATATGTGTGTGTGTGTGTGTGTGTGTGTGTAGATAGATAGATAGATAGATATCAAAAGTAGCTTCGTATCGGTAACGCAAAACAAATATCGGTGTGTATGATGACATTCCTGCGCATGCGGTTTCATTTAACTTCCTCTTCTACATGGTTATATATGTAAAGAAAATTTCCCGTTGTATATGTCCGTATCTTTTTTTCTATTCTGGCCGAAATTAATTTATATCTTGAAGATAACTTATAGGGTTGCCTTCCAGCTAAATTTCCATTAGTTTTGGGGGAGGCGATTTGCAATTTTATTTATTTTATCTAATGTCGCGTTATTACATTTTCTTTCTTTTTACACATTGTCTCTTCTTGCTCAAGAAAGATGTTCATTACAAACGGACATATTGAAAAATAAACGATTCATACATATACAAATAAGTACGATACACACACACACACACACACACACACATATATATATATATATATATATGTGTGCACACACACAGGCGGTTGAGAAAAGGCGAATTGTTGAAATTATTCTGCAAATTAAATCTTATATATATCCACATAGATACAGATACACGCAGTCATAGGCACATACACTCAAAAACAAATAAAACTGACATACGCGCAAAAACACACATATATACATATATATATATATATATATATATATATATATATATATATATATATATATATATATATATATATAATCAGAGTGTCCCCAAAATTATTAGATATAGAAATACAAAAATATTAAAATCGCAATCGGATATTGATAAGATATTTACATACTATAACGTATATAGTGAAGTTTATATATAAATAGATAATACTTTTCTATTAGCACGCTTACAGCAAAAGTCTAAAAATAAACTAAAATTTCGGAAATAAATTAATGAACAAAGCCATGTAACCCTGGCCTACCGTATTGTGTTGAAATAAGTGGAAACTTGACTTGAACTGCTGAACCAGGATTTGCCCGACAGTTCCCAGAGGTATCTGACATTTAGAAATTTATTTTGAATTTTAGTTGCAATTTGGGTTTGAATTTATAGTTTTAATTTTTGTTTGAATCTTTCGTCTTATCCACTCGAATTTGTAAATTTTTATTCATTTTAATATGCCATTCTGCTTTTGAGAAAAGGTGTGCGTCGTTATGTTTCACAGTGTGTGGGAGATGTTAACACGCTTACACCTATAAGTCCAAAAATGGAGTCGATTTTTCGACTTGTAAATGTCCTGGCGTGCAGTAATGTTGGCATTTTAAAATAACTTACTTGGATTATATTCTAAGATGAAACTTCACATCAAATGCTAAACCCGTTTTTTTTCCAGTGGCACCACGTACGATAAAAGTAGTTTTTGATTACGCTCCCAACATTGCTCTGATAATGGATATTGCAAATGCTAGTAAGTTAAAGATTAGGAAATAATTTCCCCTTTTTTAATATCACTAGTTAGGTCTTCTTAGCTACCTATCCATATTCCTTCCACTTCTCTTGCAGAGGCTCAGCCCTTGTTTCTTGTTTAGGAAGGAGTTCACGCTTCCTTTCTTTTAAGGCCTGAATAATGGTAGCTGTCAAGAATCTTTGGTCATATGAGTGAATGGTGGCTACATCTCTTCAGACTGAGGGTACCGGTTGGCATTTTTTACTTTTGTGCATCCAGATTGGTAGCTTTGAAATTTGAAATTTTTAAATTTTGAACTTATCTATCACCCAATCTCTTACACAAGTGGTAGACTTGCAAACGCGTTTCCCCGGTAATCCTGACAGATAAGCTTCTCTGATTGATATCTTATTTACTTATACCTCTGACGCATGTCATATTCAGCGGCTCTGTAGTCTTGGCAACACTAATCATGTGGTCGAGTCTGTATATATCTCTTTCCTCTCTCCCATCAGTTGCGAAACTCCTACCAACAACATATTTTTTCTGTTTTCTGACTGGGATTCGTTCCGTGACAGCCTTCACGATATCACTTGGAAAGGTTTTCAATCATCCTGTTCAAAAGTGTGCCACTGAGGTCTCCACATGTGTGAAAGCTTAGCTTTCATGCCAACAGAGAAATACCAAATGAAGCCATGATCACCTCCTTGGCTCTCACCTACCTTCTCAGCCGCTATAGCCCCCTTCTTCTGGTTGTACCAGAGCATCAGGTTAAATTATAACAGACGTCTTTTTGCCATTGTTCGTAGGGAGTGCAAGTATGGCGTCAAAGAAGCAAAGTCACTATTCACTGACAGAATGAAGCACCATATAATCTCTCACAAGTTTGGTTCTATACATTGATGGCGGTTCTGCAAGTGTGTTCTGGACAACAGAAAATCCGGAAGCCATCATGCCTTCAATCAGATTGAAGTTCTGACATCTACAGAAGACAATACTGAGAGCTTTTTTTGGAAGTTATCTTCCAACTCCACAGTGAACTCATCTGTATTACCCATGCCTGATCCACCCACACCCCTAAAACGGAGCCTCTACTGAGTGAAATGACCCGTCACTGGTTTCAGACATTCTTTCTAGACGCCCAAGGCATGCGGATTTGACGATAAAGAAATGTAATCCTGAGCTGGCTCCCGTTCTCCAGATTTTACAGTAATTGTTTCGCTACTTCCTGCATTCCAATTTGTTAGAAGTCCTCTTCTGTAGTTCCTGTTTTTAAGAACTACCGCTGATGTGAACTCCTCCTGGGTGAAAGCCGACATCGATGCTTTCTTTCCAGCAAGGAAATAACAAGTAAAACCACGATCATCTCCTTTGTTTTCGCCTGCAAGAACAACCTCTATAACTCAAAGGAATCACTTCTACCGTCTGTACTAGAGCGGCAGTTCTGGTTGTAAAAAACGTCTCTTGGTCTCTGAACGTAATGAGTGCAAGTGTATCCTGAAAGTAGAGATGTTATTGTTCACTGATAGAATGAAACAAACAATATCCGCACACAATTTTGGTTCTGCAGATTAATGGCGTCCCTGCAAGAGTGTGCTAAACAGCAAATCCTCAGATAATGTTGATGGTTTGCTCGGAACTTCTCTTCCAAATCCACAGTCGAATCTATAGAGTACCCATACCTGATTTCCCCCAACATTGGAGGTTCTACTGGATGATATGCACATAATCCCGAAATCATTTCCAAACTAGACTTCCACAACGCAAGCGGATTTGACGAGATTCCTGCTGTCGTCCTAATCTGCTCTTAAGATGGCTCCAGTTCTCTCCAAAAATTGCTTCTCTGCTTCCTGCTTTCCACTTAGTTGGATGTCCTCCTCTATAGTTTCTGTTTTTAAGAACTGTGTAGAACCCCCTGAAATTATCGCCCTAATAGACTCTTATCGCTTTTCGGTAAAGTATTCTAGGCCCTAATCAATGCTGAAGTGGTTAAACATCATACTTCTCACAAATTCAATTTCGGACAAAAAACATGACTTCCGTTTCTCCCGGTCTACCGCTGATGTGATAACAGCCATCGCTGAATTTGTATAAAATTTCTAGATAAGAACCGCAACGCTCGAACTGTGGCTCTTGATATCTTGAAGACGTTTGATAGTGTTTAGCATGATGGTATTCTACACAAGATACATTGCTGCAGAGTCACAGGACTATTTGATCAAATACAGTTTTTCTTCTCAAATCGCGAAATGAAGACCGTGTTGAACGTTCTCACTTACAGATCTTTTCATACGAAAGAAGGGGTACCCCAATGTACTATCCTCGTCGCTGGTCCCTATTCTGAAGTGGTTATGCATCTTACTTCTCACAAACTCAAACAATATGACTTCCGTTTCACCATTGATGTGTTACCGGTCATCACTGAATTTTTATATCAAGTTCCAGATAAGAAAAGAAAAGCTCGGGTTGAAGTTCTAAATATCATTGGAAATTCGTAAAGTATGGATGTTTTTGGAATTATAGACAAACGCATTTATCAACAAAAAATAAGGCACCACCTCGATGACAATAATATTTGCGAAAAACTAAATTAATACAAGAATATAAAAGAGACATAAAAATTTAAAAACATGTCCAAGTAATTATTAAATCATAAAGACAATTCACTATTTACATTATTCTGACTATTGTCCTCATTTCAGTCGCTATATTTATTACGACGTTTCGGCCGTTGTACACTGCGGCCTTCTTTAGGTGGTTGAAATGTCGAACTGAATCCTTTATTTCGCTCACTGGGGTAGACTGTTCTAGTTCCACGGGCCATGTTTAATGGATGTCAGTTATCAGTTATCTCCTGTTAATTCTCATCTCCAACTTCTCCACCGCCTTAACCAGGTATTGAACTCACACTCTTTGGGTCCTGTCACTGGATCTAACTAACGCCTTTATCCACTGTGCCATGTGTCCTTGAGGCCGAAACGTTGTGATAAATATGGTAACAAAGATGAGGATGATAGTCCGATCAATGTAAATGGTGTGGTACCTTTTCAGAAATTTAAGGATAGGTCCCTTTTCACACCTTTAAGAAGTGGTCCCTGTTCTGACCTATGGTCGATTATCCTAGTGCGCTGGCCCAAGTTGTGTTGGTAGGGGCGGATGTGACCCGCTTTGGCGATAATGTCCCTTTTTATAAATCAATTCACCCAAAACAAGAGAATAATACCATTAAGATACAAGGGGGGGGAGCTACTGATAATAAAACAGAATGAGAAGAATTTAGAAGGAATCTGAAACCTAATCCTAAACATAAAACAGGGGCTAAACATTTAATTCTGTTCAAAAAACCAAAGATGCGAAGTCCTCAATTCATGATCGCCTAAGTGGATTTACGCGTAACGGAATATAATGAACCCGACTGCACTTCGAACTCAGATCTCTGATTTTACATTCCTAGTTGTTATCCATTACACCAGCAGTAACTACTATTCCTAATTGGTCACCCATCTAGGTACAGAGGCTCGAAGTTGCTTAACTCCGGTGATCAGAAGAGAACAGGTGTTTTAACTTGATCTGACTGTGAGAAAATGTCTCAATTATTTCACAGTTGAAATGGCTAGGTGTAGCCGTAGGTTCTATGCTAACAGTTTCCTCTCCCTCGCTTGGCGCTTGTGGAATTCTTTTTAGAAAGACGAGCACAGTCGTTGTAAGAAAATTACTTGTGGCATATAAGAAAAATGTATTTTACGATACACGAGTTTGTGGAGTGTCACGTAAGCGACTTCCTATACTGTATCATCCTATGAAAGGTTTAGATGTGTTGAAAAGAAAAATAAGTGGCCAGAAGAAAGAAAGGAAGAAGTGAGATTGCAAAAAGACCGCGTAATCCAGTATATCTTCACCTGGTAGAATCAGCCAGGACATATGGATGTTGTAGAAGATATTATTCTTGTTCGAAAACATTTTAAATCTTTTCTGTTTCATATCGCGGTAGATTAGTCATGAATAAAACGTTGCAAACATATATAAAATAATTTATTTTCTTCCACAAAAACGTCCTCAAACACACCAAGAGTAAACGCTGTTTTTTTTTTTTTTTTTGCTTTAAACTTACATTTTCTAAAAAGAATATTTTCCCAAAAAGTTAGTGGCTAGAAAAATAGCCTACCTTCTTTCTCATGCAATGTGTTCGATTCTCAGTGCATTAAAAACTATTTTCGCATTACACGAAATTAATTTAAGCCACGTTAATATAACGATAGCCAAAAAATAATATTTCCGACAGAATCGAGCATTTTATTGTCGCCTTTTTCATATTTATCCTATTCAATCCGTTATCTATGAACCTACAGTGTCGGAATTATTTTTACTTTTAAAATAATGCCTTTATCAAATTATATCCGTATAAAGGTGTATTTTTAAGAAACCATAAAATATTCTTCTTGTATCAATTTTCATTTGGACTTTGCGTTGAAGGAACTTAATTCAGCTAATTTCATTTCGAAAGAAAATAAAACCAGATGTTGTTAGAAATGTTACATTAGATAAAGTTTTAATGAAATTAATTCTTCTGCGTAAAGATTTTCATTGTTTTCGCCTCAATAGCGAAATTAGTAGAAGCGTTCTTCTTCCAAATTTTCAATTGTGTGTGTTACCACCATATTGAATTAGTCGTTTTGATTAGTTATTTTTTTATATTTTCCCCCGATATGTGTAATTATCAGAAGGATGTTCTAAGACACTTGATCAAAAAAGGCTTGATCAGTCTTTACACTCATCAGATACAGACACACCTTTTGTACGTTAACTAAATTTCTCATTTAATTCAATTAAAAATGTATCTTCTAATTTAATTCTAATTTTTTTTTTAAATTATCCCTAGATTTCCACTTTTATCCAGACTTGCCTTAATGAAATACTGTTGCTTAAATAATGTACACTTACACTCAACCCCCAACACACACACACATATATATATATATATATATATGTTGTTTGGGCTTAGAAAATTTCATAGTCTATTGAAGCAAAAATTTTTCTTGTGAATACGTTGGCGGAATGAAACAAATTGCGGTATTAGCTAAGGTGCTACAAGACACTTTACAGCAACAATTCCAACAACAACAACAACAACAACAATAATTCCAACAACAACAATCGATTCAGCAACAAGAAAGGTTTGAAAAGTTATTCGAACAACAGGCAAAAGACAAATTACTTTGGGAAGACGTATTATCTCAGACAACAAAATAACCGGGTTCTAGATTTTTTTCTGCTGAAGGAATTTGAAATTCACTCTCTGAATTTAAATATGACCCTGAAAGTGGTTCAACGTTTCCGGCTTATTTTCGTAGGTTTGAAACAATATTTACGACAGGTGTGAACAATGATCCGACGAGGAAAAAGATCACTCTAGTGTTGCCGAAGTTGGGAACAGAAGAATACACGAATTTAATCCTCCCAAAGAAGTCAGAAGAAATTGCATTCGGCGAAACAGTAGAAATTTTGTCGGAAATTTTCGATAAAAGAGTGTTTCATACACGATACAAGTGTCTAAATATTGTAAAACAAGCGGATGATGATTTTGTCACGTATGCAGGTATGGTTAACGCACAGTGTGAGGCGTTTAATCTAAAGAAATTGTCAAGCGACATGTTCAAATGTCTAATTTTTGTGCAAGGTCTAACGACTCCTAAGGGGAAAGAAATTAGATCAAGAATCCTCTCCGTAATGGAACAATATCCGCAGATTACGCTACAAATAGTAATGGAAGAATGTCAGCGAATTATAAACAGAAAAAAAAAAAACAATACTCGGATTGAGGAGAAGAACATCTCGCGAGTTCAAACTGTAAGACAACAGAAATGGTTACAAAATAAATAAAGAAAAATGCAATTCGTGTGGAAGACATCGTATAAAGACGGATTGTTTCTTTTGGAATAAAAATGTTTTAATTGTGAGCGTGTAGGCCATAAAAGTTCCCATTGTCGGGCAAAAGAAAGAAATGTAAAATCAAAGTCTCAAAGGCGAATGTAGTTTTGTCTAAAAACGAAATTGAGGAGGGTCAAAGAAGAAAATACCTCAATGTAAAAATAAATGGGCAGACCGCAAAATTATTACTCGATTCAGGAAGTGATATCTTTGTAATAAACGAGCAAACATGGAAAGAAATCGGTTACCAAAACAGACAAAATTGCCAGGGGTGTGTCAGGAAAATTAAGTTTACAGGTGAATTAAAATGTAACATTTCGTTCATGGGGAAAATTCACAAATCGAAAGTATGTGCTCCTTGGTTCAGTAAACCTCTTTGCTACAGACTGGATCGTATTGTTTAATTTGTGGGAATTAGCAGTAAATTCTTTCTCTAACAAAGTGAATGTCAGAGAACTATAAGACGAAGCAAACAGAAAGATTTATTACGGAGTTGAAAAACGAATTCCCTCGTGTCTTTTCAGAAGGTCTAGGTCTGTGCACAAATACAGAAGTCAACATCGAACTGAAAGAAAATGTTAAATCAATCTAAACCAAAGAGAAAAGTACCATTTTTCGGCACTAGACACAATAAATGAAGAATTAGAAACGTTGGAGAAAATTGGCGTAATTTCAATAGTCGATTACTCGGATTGGGCATCTCCAACCGTATATATAAAAAAGAAAAAGCGAAAAATCACTGTGTGCTGAATTCTCGACAGGCTTAAATGACTGTTTGAAAGACCATGCGTTCTCTCTACCGTCTCCGGAGGATATATTTACTAAATTAAACGGAGGTAGAGTGTTTTCAAAGTTGGACTTGTCTGAGGCTTACCTTCAGGTTAAAATCAGTGAAGAATGTTCGAAGTACCTGACTATAAACAAGCATAAAGGGATTTTTAAATTAAATCATCTCCCTTTTGGATTGAAGGTAACTCCAAGCCATTTCCAGCAAGTGATGGACACAATGTTGGCTGGTATGGAGTATGCAATAGCATACTTAGATGATATTTGGATTAAAAGTGAAAACGAGGCCCAACACAAAACGCATATTAGAGCAGTATTTCAGAGAATTGAGGAATATGGGTTAAAGCTGAGTGCTGAAAAATGCGAGTTCTTCCTAAAGAAGATAAAATATTTAGGGCAGATCTTTGACAGTAAAGGAAGAGAACTGGATCCAGAGAGGACTGAGGCTATAAAAAATATGCCAGCACCTGATAATGTGGCTAAACTCCAGGCGTCCTTGGGATTAGTAAGCTACGAGAGCATTTATATCCCAAAAATGTATATGAGAGCTCCTTTGAATAATTTGCTGAAAAAGGGCGCAAAGTGGATATGGTCGAAAGAATGCAAAGATGCTTTTAAAAAATAAAAAGCTGTCTATTAGCAGACCTATCGTTAGCGCATTTCGACCCGAAGAGGGAAATCATTGTAGCAGCAGATGCCAGTAATGAGGGACTAGGTGAGGTATTGCTTCATAAATTCGAGGACGGATCTACGAAGCCAGTAGCACATGCCTCGAGAACGTTACTGTCCGAAGAACGAAGCGAAAAAAAGAGTTTAGCAATAATCTACGCTGTAAAAAAAAAATTTCACAGGTTTCTATACGGAAGAGAATTTATTCTGCAAACAGACCACAAATTGCTGTTAACACTATTTGGTTAAAAAAAGAAACACCAACTCACACGGCAAATCGACTACAGCGTTGGGGTATAATTCTATTGAATTATAATTTCAAAATAGAATATGTACCTTCAAAGAAGCTAGGTCACGCCAATGGGTTGTCAAGGTTAATACCTAAATATACGGAACCACTGGAAGAAACAGTAATAGTGGTACGAAGAGACGAAAGTGAATTGTCGGGTCTGTTATGCAACACTATTAGAGAACTGCCGGTTACGCTAGAAGATGTGAAAAAAGCAGCAGAAAACGATGATTTCATTTTAAAAAAATGAAAAAGCTAGTTTGGTTGAACGAGAGAACTAAAAAAGGAATTAGTGTGCCACCTTTTTCAATTTTCGAACAGGTATTACTATACGCAGATAGTTGTAATGCCGGTTGCTCTACAAAAGAAAATTCTAAAAGAATTTCACACTGGCCATCCGGGGATTTCGAGAATGAAATCGCAAATGAGAGGCTATACATATTGGCCGAGGATGGACCAAGACATAGAAAATTTGGTGAAACAGTACAGATGATGTCAACTGACAGCAAGGGATCCACCGGTAAAGATTCAACCATGGCCAAAGACAGATGTCCCATGGACTCGATTGCATATCGATTATGCAGGGCCCATAAGTGGATCTTATTACCTGATTATTGTAGACAGTTTCACAAAGTGGCCAGAAATTGTTAAGTGCAGACATCCAACTGCAACAAAATAATAAACGAAATTAATGAAATATTTAGTCGTTTTGGACTCCCTACAACTTTAGTCAGCGACAACGGAACGCAGTTTACGGGAAGAGAATTCAAGGAATTCTGTACATCATTGTCCATCGATCACGCGACAACAACAGTATATCATCCAAGATCGAATGGACAGGCGGAAAAATTCGTGGACACATTTAAACGAGTGTTGAAGAAAAGTCAAGGTG